AGCGACAAGAGAAGGACGCGCTCAACAGCTTGGGCAACAACTTCTGGAAGCAAGATCCTCGCATCGCTCCTCTTCGTGGCGCTCTTGCGACATGGGGTCTTACAATTGACGACCTCGATGTTGCCTCTTTCCACGGCACTTCGACTGTTGCCAACGACAAGAATGAGTCCGACGTTATCTGCCAGCAGATGCGTCACCTCGGCCGTAAGAAGGGAAATGCACTGCTCGGTATCTTCCAGAAATATCTCACTGGTCACCCCAAGGGTGCTGCCGGTGCATGGATGTTCAACGGCTGTCTGCAGGTGCTCAACACTGGTCTCGTACCAGGCAACCGCAATGCGGACAACGTCGACAAGATCATGGAGAAGTTCGATTACATCGTGTACCCATCGCAAGCTATTCAGACCGATGGTATCAAGGCTTTCTCTGTCACTTCCTTTGGTTTCGGACAAAAAGGAGCCCAGGCTATTGGTATCCATCCCAGGTACCTATATGCTGCGCTTGAGCATCACCAGTTTGCTGCCTACAAGCAAAAGGTTGAAGCCCGCCAAAAGAAGGCCTACCGCTACTTCCATGACGGTCTCATTAACAACACCATGTTCCGCGCCAAGGACAAGGCACCATATGAAGACGAGAAGATGCAAGAGGTTTTCCTTAACCCACAAGCTCGTGTCACAGTCGACAAGAAGACAGGGACATATAGCTACCCGAAGAACCCTACGCCGGCCTCCAAGAAGGACAAGAAGTCTCAAGAAACTATGAAGATGCTTGAGCAGCTTACACAGAGTACTGCTTCCGCTAGTTCCAAGGTCGGTGTCGATGTTGAGAGCCTCAGTGCTCTGAACATTGAGAATGACACTTTCATTGAGCGCAATTTCACTGAAAAGGAGATTGCATACTGCCGAAAGGCCCCGAACCCCCAAGCAAGCTTCACTGGCAAGTGGTCTGCGAAGGAGGCCGTTTTCAAATCTCTTGGTGTCAAGGGTGAAGGTGCTGGCGCTCCTTTGAAGGACATTGAGATTGTCAACGACGAGTCAGGAGCGCCGTCAGTTCAGGTATGTGATACAAACTCGGCGATTTTTTTCGAAGCATTTTCTAACGTGACTACAGCTGTACGGCAAAGCCGACGAAGAAGCCAAGCGTGTCGGCGTCAAGAACATCAATATCAGCATTAGCCACTCTGACGATCAAGCCGTCTCAGTTGCTATTGCTCAGTTCTAGGCAGACCATGGCCAATAGAAGGATGATTGACAACGAGGTAAAAAGCGGGCACTAATATGGAAAGACTATGCTGGTACACGCGTCATTCCCCAAGCTTCTTCTATCGAGTGCAGAGACGCCTTCCGAGCGTCTGGTTAGTCACCGGCTTGGCAGGCTTGTTTGATGAATGTGTCATGATAAAGTTAAGTTATGTATTGTAATGCAATAAAATATTGTTCAAACAAAAAGGGTATCAACTTGAAGTCAATGCAACATGAATACAAGCCGGGACACGAGCCGATGCAGCCCACATTATCTATAGCACTCGATGACGTGATGTGCAGTAACATGGCCGACTATCTCTCGACCCAGGGATACGGAACACGTCCGATAAGCTCAACAACGGAGATTGAATACGCGAGCCTGGGCGACATGTACCCCGCTCGTTTTCCCGATTGGAAGAGTGTCGGACATGTGGTTGAGGCTGACCTGCAGCGGGTGGCTGCATGAGCGTAAGCTGTTGAACATGTTGGGACACGCAGGATCTCGGACAATGTCGGGTACGTGTGGGTCACCACTGGCTTGCACAAGTCATGGTCAGTACCGCGAAGAGTATAGCGTATACGCGGAGGTTTACAATGGATGTAAAGATCGGTTGGTCTGAGCTGAGTGTAGAGATAAGAAGTACTGACTACTTGGTTTGTTGGGAGAAGGTACTTTTGGGGCGAAAGGAAGTGCATTGGGTTGACGTGTAGTCTCGCAAGGATCCAGGTACGAAGAGGATTCGGGAATGGGACTATGTATTATCTATGTACTCTCGATGTATCTATGAAGTACCAAAAACCTGGTTGCCAAGACAACAGTCTAGCCTGGCTTCATGACTCCATGTTTCCCTTCTACAAAAGCTCGGGAGATGGAGTAAGAAGGTAGCCTCTAAATGAGCCTCCTTTTCTAGTACAGAAGCCTCTACCGTGCAAAACTATCACTTTACCAAGGATAGTTCCTCTTAACCCACATCAAATCCTTCTCACTCGGCCTCCTCCCCTGCTCCACCAGCCTCGTCCCCTTTCTATGATCCTTTGGATCCACATATGCCACCACAGGACAATCCTCACCCTTAGTGATGCACCGCTGATTCGAATACCCAGATACACTGGCATAATGCATGATGCTTGCGATATCGAAGCCTGCATTTGACTTGATGGGCCAACCTGGTTCAACGCGGTTTTTGACAAAGGCGGCGCACGTGCAACCGTATTTGATGGTTAGATGGATGGAGCGGCAGAGGTTCTCGGGCGTGATGAGCGGGCCTTCGTGGGCGTGGACGCGCTTCCAGCATGCGTCCCAGTCTGCGAGGGACTTGGGGGTGACTTTCAGGTAGGTGTCGCGGTCCGGGTGGTTGTGCTCGTGGGCCATGCCTAGTCGGTTAGTACTAGCTATATATCGCTACTGCCATTCTACCAATGTCCGATGGGAGCTTGCAGTTGATGTGGTAATGGGGAGGGGGATTGACTCACCTAGAACATGACCGAGCTCGTGCATGACTCCAAGAAGTGTATATCCATTGGCGATATATACGAGTTGCTGCCAGGGCTTCCCGTTGCGTGTCAAGCCGACACTTCCGCCCCAGCCTCCGTTCTCAGTGTATTCGATTGCAAGAGTGTCCTTGGGGACCTTGTCGTTCCAGGCGTCACGGTTGGTTGGAGAAGCACAGTACAGTGGCTTTCCCTGGGCGTTTTTGCGCTCTTGGAAGCTGATGGCGTGGCCGGAGGTGCGACTCGCTGGGCCGCCGAGATGTCTGCGAGTTTGTTAAGTTTCTGGCTGAAGCAAAAGAAATAAAGTAAAGTGTATTTGGTGTTTACTTACTCGATCCACTTCGCCATACCGTTCTCCACTACGTTTCGAATGTTCCTGCGGTCATACTCTTGTGCGAAACAATACGGGATAATGACCTGATGCTCGCCAGTGCGCGGCCACGGAATGGGACCGCCTTCAGTTCCCCAGGCATCGGTTGAGCCTTGACTTTCCAAAGCTCCATGCTTCTCCAGCTCGGCTATGTAGTCGGGCCAGTCGGTGGCCTTTGTCCCGTTGTCGTAGACGGGCACTGGAGTACCGCAGAAGGGACCGAATTTGGGTACAGTCTCCTGAGCGAGAGCTGTAGCAAGGAGTGCAACGAATGGTAAAAGGGAGAGTGTAATCATGCTTTCTGACTTCTTGGTTGAGAATGATGGTTGCTGTCAGATGGAGCTGGCTACGATGGTAACAGTACTTTATATAGCTGGAGGACATGCTATCTGCTGCATGAAAGCATCAATATGTGGGAGTGAAAGGTGCTTAGCGAGATATGAGTGCTCAAAGAGGAAACCATGATGACTCGAGAGGAGTGAAAGGTGGGTAGGCAGCAGTGAACTGCACACTAGGAGTTACGACAAAATATCAATCGATTCAGTTTCGCTGCCTCATAATGTGACGTCATCTTTATAGTCGCTGGGACGTATCTTATATACATCGAATACATCTAGCGGCCGTTGACTCCCATGGGCTATCCCTGTTTGCAGTTGACTTTACCTGTCAAACCTCTTCATTGTACAAAATCACTGCTGAAGGGCCTGATTTTGCCCGTCTGAATCCCATTTGGCAGTTCTAAGCAGATATTTGAAGTAAATTCAACCTCAGTTTGCGTTGTTTCATGCAATATATCGAGATTGCTCACAAAATTAATCGCTCCTGGGTGAAAGCACACATCCCACCAATGTATAGAAGTTTTACAACAACTATGAATTCAATTCGTACGTTCAAAGCTTTACACGCTAATGAACAGCACATTACACAGGCAGATATAAAAGGTCTGCGTCGGCATACTCTATCCTAAATTGAGGGCTCCTGAACTGCACCCTTATATGAACAGCGACGAAGATGTCAAGGCGCCAAATCTATTCCCTGACAGATATCTGTCTTCTGTACCCATAAATGAGCTCAAAAAGTCTTCAGTGGCTGTTACTCGCCTCTGTTCAGGCCATGGTTCACTACCGCTTTGTTCATGTCTGTTTAGGAAACTGCAAAAAAAAACGTGACAATTTATTTATCAATACCTGATTTACCTGAACAGGGCGCTACGATAGGGCCGTAGCTGTACCTTCAATCACTACCACCGTATGCCGACAAAACATAAGGATGTATTAAGTCAAAGCTGGGTGCAGCCCTGAGTTTTGAATCGGCGTCCAAGATAGTTGAAATCGACGAAGCAAGGTGAATGGGATGCCTAAAGAGGGCTTTTGGCAGAAACAGAACCAAAATTTGGGCGCGGAACAATTCATTGTGGACAATGCCTCTCATTTTCAGCGGGTCACGACAGAATTCTTCTCTATATATGGTCTATGAGACGGTATCTGTCCTGCGTTCCCTGTTAATTGGAGAAATAGAGGTGTTGTAGGAACAAAGGAGAAAAGTAAGGGGAAAGCTCCCTTCCTGGTAATTTTGAGGAACAATATGTGTCGCTTTAAGAATCTCTTGGCACAGTACTATGTGCGTCTTCCCCATTTGTATTACAAATGCTGCTCACGCCAAGCCGGAAATCTACTAGTGGGCGGTGGGAAGGGCCGGGTCAGTATCTCGGTCTCCGGATATTCTGGCTCCGTGATACTAAAGCGACTATCTTGCTACGTGACAAGTATCATATCTTATTATATGGTCTTGAGGCTTTCAAGGGAGGCAAAATATGTATATGTATCTCTTTACTCGCAACAGCAGTCCGTTCTAGAACCAATCTATTTTCCAAAAGCATTCAACAAAACACCAAAATGTCAGCGGACCGCCTATTCCAGCCCCTCAAGGTGGGTAACATGGAGCTCAAGCACCGTGTCGCCATGGCGCCTTGTACACGCTTCCGCGCAAGCGATGGTTATGAGGTCATCCCTCTGGCTGCAAAGTATTATGCTGAGCGTGCCTGTGTATCCGGAACACTTATTATTACCGAAGCGACATTGATATCGAAACAAGCTGGTGGTTTCGCCAACGTACCCGGTATCTGGTCACAAGCTCAAGTTGACGCCTGGAAGCTAGTCACCAGGGCCGTTCACGAAAAGGGCTCATATATTTATCTCCAACTGTGGAGTCTTGGACGTACAGCAGACCCGAAAGTCGCAGAGAAAGAAGGCATTACCATCAAGTCTTCTAGCCCTGTATCTCTGGGTGAAGGCTTCGCTACACCAAAGGAAATGACTGTGGAAGAGATCAAAGAGTCCATCCAGGAATAAGCCCAAGCTGCAAAGAACGCCATCGAGGCTGGTTTCGACGGGGTGTAAATTCACGCTACCCACGGATTTCTCATCGACCAGTTCCTACAAGATACCTGTAACAAGCGTACAGACTCCTACGGTGGCTCTATCGAGAACCGCTCTCGGTTCGCTGTAGAAGTTACACAGGCCGTAATTGAAGCCATTGGCGCAGAAAAGACTGGTATCCGGTTGAGCCCATTCTCCTCATACTTCGGTATGAGGATGAAAGACCCGCTACCTCAATTCATCGATATCATGAAGAAAATGGATGCTTTGAATCTTGCTTTTCTGCATCTTGTCGAACCACGTGTTCTCGGTAGCGACGACGTTGAAACCACGGAATCAGTTGAACCCCTACTACCGCACTTCACCGGCCCATTGATCCTTGCTGGAGGCTTCAAGCTCCAAAATGCAAACGAGTATGTAGAGAAGCACAAGGATAGGGATATTGTTATTGCGTTTGGACGCTACTTTATCTCGACGCCTGATCTAGTATTCAGGTTGCAGAAAGGCATCGAATTTAACCCTTACGACCGTGACACCTTTTACTTTCCGAATGAGGGTGAGAACGGTTATACGGACTATCCGTTTAGTGATGAGTGGAAGGCGGAGCAAGCGAATTGACAGAGAGGAAATATAGACATACCCATTTATACATTGAAAGGCGGTTCCCCGTGATATATGCATGTATACTATGTAGTTAGGACCGATTATAGAAATGTTGTTATTGCGTGTTACAGCCACGATGAAGTATTTTGTAGTTATGTAAGCTGTATGATTGTGATTGCCGGTTCGCTATTCATACAGTGTTTACTATATCAATGCATAGATCAATAGCAAATCGTGGAGTGATTTAGTGCTACGCATTTCTAGGGTAATTGTGCTCAGTGACCGCACATGGGATGAGTAACATGTCTCACTAGTTCAACAAGAAGCAGAATCGTTCAGGAATATAACTGTTGAAGAGCAACAGTCTTTGAATCTCACGTAATGTAGACAACTTTGTAACGTTTTTATAGTAGCACTCATATTTCGGTGGCAGATAGTGGCTGAGCCATCCCATTCTTGACTAGTTAGATTTTGCTTTGTTTTCCGTAGATGAATCTAACCATGTTGTTCCACAGTAATGGAGATAACTTAACACCACTCTATAGAACAATGCAATGTCCCATGTGATTTCTAACACTGTGTCTTGGATGAAATGATCGATATCTCTTCACAAAGCTTGGGGTTCTAGCTATCACTCACTGTGCGACTGACTACAATCATTGTGTGAGACAAGCTCCAATCCCAGTATAAAAGTGTGTATTACTCTCCCGAAAGACCAGTATTATACAACAACTTCTACGATCGAAGACAAATAACCCAACATGTCTCAACGTCTCATCATGTCTCAAGAGTCCGCCAAACCTACAAAGCTCACCGTACCCTTAAAGTCCGCCATGCGTAAAACTTCGCCTGTGCCCGAAAAGCCTGCCATATCCAATGAGCTAAGCCTGCGTAGAAATTCCACCACGTCTAAACAACTAAATAAGTCTGCAAAACCTGCCATGCGTATAAATTCACCTATACCCGAAAAGTCCGCCATATCCAACCAGTCACCCATAAGTAGAGGTTCGGCTACATCTAAACAGCCGGCTGGGCCTAAAAAGCCCGCCACACCGATAGCTTCACCCTCCCCAGTATTTAGAAGGTCCGAAATGCCTAGAAAGCCCCCCGTACCTAAGCAGGTTCGGAAGAGGCGGGTAGCATTTGCCCCAGACACTGCTTTTGAACCAGGACGTCGGGTCAATGAGTTCTGGAGGTTTGGGGCGCTATACAAAGCGGGGAAGCATGCAAATGTCATGAGTGGGGGATGGCTCGATACTAGTTTCAAGTCAGACCTTCTGGAGGCGATGCTAAATCTCAAGGTCTACGCAACATATACTGTCGACAGCAGGACTGAATTCACCGACATCCACGATGAATTTGTAACGTATATGAAGGAAGGCAAGCCAATTTCTCCGGGAAAACGCAGCACACTTCGAGACCACGAACTCTGCCTCGAGGTGATGGATGATTATGCAGAGTATCTCGAACGCTGTAATGCGAATGGTTCGACCTTGGCTAGAGATGAGCTAGCAGCGGCGAAAGTCTTGGTTGTCTACCGGGGCCAAAACGGCGGACTCCTTGGCTTCCAGTTCCTCAAAGACACGTGGGACGATGCGGAGGCTGCGGAGTACTTGGATCAGTTGAAAGATGAGATCCCTCCAGATAATCAAGGTGGATCCTCGGAAAATATCCTTGACGAGATGCGGAAACGGTAGTTTCAGTCATGCAGACATGGACCCACATATCATAGTAATGCTTTGCAGTCTTCGCGTATGAAAATAGTACAGGTCAAAACAGTTTTAGTCTTTTTTTAGTCAATAGCATGTTACAATATACATTATCCACGTATCGCTTACCTTTCCACTTTATTTTATCATGCCGTTGGTTGTGTTGTTGAACCTTGGACGCCACGGGTTTTGCTTCGTGATGTTAGTGGTCGCGAGCGGGCGTGCCGTCCCGAAGTAGTATCAGTGGCCTAACCCTGCTTATCCGGAGTCTTTGTGGGATTTTAAATCGCCGTAAAAGCAGCACGACTCCTAGTCTACCCCACGCGATGATCAAAAACTGGACCAAAACCCTGGATCAAAGCCGCTAGTTATGCTAGCCTCCTCTTCAAGAAGAGAAGTGATTGCGACGTACTAAAATCCCGTTCCCGTTGTCAAGGAAGAACAACAGTAGCGTACCTGCCAAATTTGGGCATGATTCTCGTACTTTCATCAGCACCAAGTAAGTCTGCCAAGATTGCCTGATATAAAATCTGGTCATGGGTTTCTAACATGTCGCAATTGGCCTGCCAAGCGCACCTAGAATGCCCTCAACAAGCATGGCAGGCGTGGACACCTAGGGAAGTTTTGCCTAACCCTATATTCTGGTTAGGTTATGACGCACGATTGATTAATCGCCGTCGGTGTTTTTCAACAATGTCACCCAGCGAGCCTATGAAGCCTGAGGAAAATAAATGCCAAGAACAGTAAAGTGGATTTGAGCAATGCACGGAGCGAAGGGATCGTCGTGGGGTACTGCATGATAAATAAACAGGGCTGGCTCGAGGAGTTATGTTAGTATTAGCATCACCAAACCATTGTTTCAGGAATTGCTGCTGAAACTTGGCAGATCGAGGTTGATAATTGTATCGTCCCACACCCGCAGAACGCTCCGCATTTCTGAGGAACGTGATCAGCAGTCAAAACCGAAGCTTCGCTGAATTAGACTGGGACGGACCGATGCAGGGCCGACCTTTTACGGGTGTTGAAGGCTCCGTGCTGGGCTTGTGCCAGAGTAGCGCATCACGTGGACATCATGTGAACATCATAGTTCACGTAACAACTAAGGTCATCGCGTATCCGTGATGACGTGCCGAGGTTTGGTAAAGTCGTTGATGTATCTACATTACATGTTATTGTTGTTATTGTTCGTTATTTACAGAATCTTGCTGAATCAATCAGTCAAGATGAGTGTACTGAGCATTTGGTAATAATGCGGTAGGTGTACAAAAGAGATCATCATCAAGATACCGATCGTGGTCACCTTCTGAACCACGCCATTAGGTCCCCTTTGACCGTTTTCCTCAGATGCTCGTTGAACCCGTACGTGAGGGCGTTTGCAAGTCCGATGAATTGCGTTGAACATTGGAGGATGGTCAGCGTCTTACTTTTGTGCCCTGATGCTTCCACCAGACGATTGATCAATCCAGGCGCCCAGAGGATGACGTATAAGATAGGATATGCGTTGAGAAGCAGCATTCTCTGGATTTCCTTTTCGACGTTCCGACTAGTGGCCCCGTTATAGAGAGTTCCAGTCAAGTTGGTTGGAGGGCCCTGTGATCCAGCTATTGCTATTTCTGCCCTGGCAGCTTCAACGTCGCGTTCGGAGTCTACAGCAGGGTGTGCGTCTATGGTGATAACTACAGTCAGTTGAAGATCATAATGGATGGAGATCCCAGAACCTAGGGGGTGGCGAAACAGAAACAAGCGTTTGGAGATGGGAAGAGCTGACATACATGGTGAACTGCTAGGAGAGGGCCCTTTTGGCGTTGTATCACTGTGGATACTGTCGCCCTTGCTCGCTTCAACGGATGATCCGGCAAGTTGTGCCTTCCCAACGCTGCCGCTTTGGGCGTGTTTCACTTCGATACGGTACTCGACATTGATCTTATGTAGCTCCACTTGGGATTCGCTCTTCAGCTGGAAAGCATCGTCTCGACGGAATTCGCGGCGCCTAACAGAACTTCCTGGGTCGTACGATTTTCCCATGCTGTGCGCATGCAGGGTTGAAAAGTGCCTCTTCATGTAAATCCATATATAGATATATATGCCAATGGTGATGAAGATGATGGTAAATCGCCATGCATGAGTCAGGCCATAGCGCAGGTCTGTTCGTTTGGCACTTATCCAGCACCAATTGCCACTAACGGGGACAATTTCATTGAGTCCTAGGGCAGTGCATGCTGTTTGTTGAAGTCAGCCTTGGCTTAGGTACTCAGGCGCAATATGAATTACATGATATGGTGGGCATGATCCAGCAAGACGCGCAAATGAGGATCTTCTTCAGGGTAGAGACATTGGGCATGTAAGTCTTTCGAGTAATGGTAAGGAGTGTGACGATAGCGATGGCCAGGATGGAAAAGTCGGCCGCCTGGGAATTTGTCAGTGAAGGATCCAAGAGAGTGGATATCGGGTTTGAGAAGGCTTACCTGAACGGACCACTGGCCCACCCAACCATTTAAATTACACGCGACGCCATCGACCAAGTCACGTTGATTTGCGACAACCCAAGCTCCCGATATTGAATTGTTCACTGAGTTGATGAATTCTGTTGTGGTGGTTAGCCTGACGTGTAGAGGTGGCAACTAGGGGGTGAGGCATCGTACCAGCGAGAGCGAGATTCAAAACAAGTACGTGACGGAAAGAGCGTTGCTGGTCGGCGTAGATGACATAGCAGACGAGAACGCATGAGGTGGCAACGGCGGAACAAAGGCTGCCCACAAGCGTAGGAACCGCAACACTCCAGGTGATGGGCATGGTGAGACAATTGCGCAGTTGTGAGTAGGGCCTGAGGTACTTCAACAACAACAACAACTGGCTAAAGACTACAGATGGGCATGGCGATATATGTAACATGGAGGGTAGCGAACGCATTTAGCGGCACAAACCGTAAGTAAGTATAATTGGGAGGGCAGTCAAGTCTTGGGGGGACTCATGCAGCCGCACACGCAGGTTTTACCACCCATTTCCCACTACATGCGGTAGTCTAATGTTTAGGGCGGCGGTCGTGCAGAGTTTCGACTATCTTGTTATTGAGCCGAATGTCTGTATCGCCCGCGTGCCCGGGCCAGGGACCCCTACCGGTCGTTGACAGGCAGTCTAGGAGCGCGCTCCGCCGACGCCTCGAAGAAGTGGTTCCTAACGCCCCTGAATGCGGCTGCGCGTGAACTGGTGGCACGAAGCAATTCAATTCAACTCAATTCAATTTTGTCTTGATAGGATATACAGGCGGTGGATTGGATCGATGGAACATGATTGGTTGCCACCGACGATTAGAGGTGCCGCTGGAGTTTGCCCGCATAGCACCTTTAGCTCTCCTGGCTCTCTCTGCCTCGGGCCTTGCCTTAATCTATTGCCCTGACACCGCTGGGCATTGGCTGCCCTTGCAACGCCTCTGCTTGGAACCCGACTCAAGCACAGCGCACGTGCGCCCACCAGCTTTGCTATCCAAGTACAGCGCCGTCACAGATGTTGATCTCCCGAAACGCAGTGTGCCTCTTATCCCGGCGCCTCACAGACTGCGCATTCTGTTCGTCAACCAAGGCTCTGGCCTTAGGCTGCGCAGTCTTTATTGGTAAGAAAACTGTCCGGTTCTGCATCGCATGATGACATGTATGCTCAGCATTACCTTGCCGTACTGAACTAAACGCGGGACGGCTGACAGTTGGCTGACAGCAGCACGAAACCAGACTTGCGCAATGTTCCCATACTTAGACGGACTGCCTTGTCCCTGCTTGAGTGGCCGTTGAGACCTTTGACCTTTGACCTTTGAGCCTCACCCGCACCATGAGCACAGAAACACAGATCCATCATCCGGCACCTGTGTTTTCGCATCCAGCTTCTGGAACTGGGCGCATGGGCGCACGAGCATTCGCCTTGCCATCGCCGACCATTCACGTCTTCTCTCTAACAACTTATTCATAGTAGCACACACATGCCTATGCGACTCCATGCAAGTAATTGGGCATTCACTGGTATTGGGTGGCCTTACTGAGAGCATCGTCACCTCGACCGATCGATCAGCCTGTCTGTGTCTTCGCTCCCTTCTACGTCACAAGGCTATCCCAGCGTGGGGAATAAGCCTTCGCTAATTGCGCCTTCGCTTCACACGATGCGTGCCGTCTCATCCTTGTTCTAGCCCGGCCCCCCATGAGCTCCACTCGAAACACCCTCCTCTCACCCAGCTTACTCGCTCCTCCCTCCATCATAGTATACATAAAGTAATGTGTTCTATGTATACATACCCTCTAGCGCTTACTGTCTCGTCTTTGCTAAGCTGATGCATTAAACGTAGCCAAGCCCTTACCATTGCCATGATATAACCAGGTCAACGGTGCTTCTTACGATTCTAAAAATCTAAGTATACAAACGTAGGCCCTTTGGGTCCGCTAGATTTGCTCACAACCCACCATACTGCAACTCTCAACCTAAGCATTCCAATTGTCTGTGGCTGAAGTGGCATCAGAGCCAAGAGTCTACCACCATTCCGCGGCGCCTACAATGTAAGTGCTAGCTACAAGAAGAAGCTAACGCCGCGCTGGCCAACAAGACTTCTACTGGTCTACATTCTCCACATACGTACTACGACTACGAAGGAGCTCGCTCTCGTAAGGAACCGTCTGGCCCGTGCACCCACTCAAGACTGAGTCCACCAATGCAAAGAGTGGATACATTCGGCCAAAAGAGAGGGAACTATTTAAAATACCCAAAATAAGCTTTCTTCTAAGCTTTCTGATAGACCACGTCGCGATGTCTGCGATACAAAAAAAAGCAACATCTCGGCTGTAGAAAATGAGCGCACGGGCTAGGTGATTACTCACTCAAATCGAGGCCCTTCGTAGACACATGCACCCCCTCCACAGCAAAAGTGGCAGTACTTAGCGCATACTCCCGAGTAAGGTACTGCCACCTTTTCTGTGGAGGGGGGCCTCCATGGCGATAAGCGAGCTTACCTACGGACCTCTTTCCGCCTCCTTCGCTCACACCTAGGTCTGGGTACATGGAGTCCCGGACTTCCCCGTCTATCCCCGTGGCGCTCTTTGTCTAGTTCGCCCCAGTTTTCGTTAGGCTGCGGGTGGCAGCGTCCCATCCGAACTTCAACAGGATACTGTTCTAGGCCCCGTTAGTGGAGGTGCGAACATCGTCAAGCAACCATCAGGAAATGCGTAGTTAAGGGGGAGGCGGGAGGCGGGAGGCGGGGCCATTGCGCCCCAGCTATTGCGTGCGCTGATAGCAAACAGTTATTGGAATTCCCCGACTTTAGATCTAATCAATTAATATTAGAGTTTCATTCTCTTGGCAGCCAAAACATGAGTATGTCCTTAGTTAGAGAAACTTGCATAGCCGGTGTGCCTCAAGGACCTTGGGGATGACGGGATATACGTGCACGTGTGACTGTTTGATCATCGATGTTATAGCTAGCATTGTGGAAAGGATACCTATGTATGAACACAAGGATTAAGGGTCTTAGACTGTAAGTGTAAATTACCGTGGCAAAACCCAAAGATTTGGGGCTAGACCCCATCTTTGCTTTTTTTTCGTTCATGATATCATTATTTCTTACAATTCTCCTAGGTTATTCCTCGTCTACAGTATGCCCCCATGTACCATTTGGTCAAATCGGTCCCCGTGTAATTCGAAATGGGTCAAGGCAACATCGGAGATCGACCCAGACTGACACTTGAGTGGGCTTCTTGTTCCTTTTGTATATGTGAATGGATCTTGAGCTAGAAATCTAGATCGAGCCCCTGGCTTGGTTGAAAAATTACACCTCCATGTGCGGCGAAAGAAAGGTCGCATCGTGGGTACACAGGCGGCCATAATGACGATGTTTTGTTCTACTCTATATAGAAGTCAGCCTAATATGGAGAATTAAAGGAGAGACAAAATTACTTACAAGCCCCATATTATTAGCGCTACAGGCTTCCAAACTGGGCACCATCAGTCATGACCTCACACTGTATGTTAACATACTTACGAGGATCAATTGTGTCTGTAAATAACGGCAAATACGTCCCCTTAACGATGGTGATTATCGCACACAGCATGGTCATACTCATCATTACGATGAGGCCAATCTTGGTGGACCAAGCTATCTGTAGATTCCAGAATGTGCATGCGGGCGCCACTGTCAAAACCACATCCGTGAATGTCGTGTACGCACAGAACCAGTACGAAAAGCTATTGAGAATATTCGGATTCCAGCACGAGCCTGGCAATGACTTTTCCCATAGTTTCTGGGTTGGTCGGCATTGTGTAAATGCTAGGGCAATCGTAATGACGGCAAACGATGCTTGCAGAACCGCCATAGAGTACAGAGCAATAGTTTGTCATGAGCTTGGGGAGAGAAGCTGGCAGACAAGAATTGTGATGGATATGTTCGGTAAGCTGAATGCAGCTGTGAATTGTCAACCTTTAGCCAAAGCTACACCTACGAGGCCAATGAACACTTACCAATATTAAAAGCTACAAAGTGTCAACTCAAGCCATGCTAAACCCTCATGTTTATTCACACAGAACATACGGTATCCCAGAATACGGATCAAGGCGCCTTTGAAAAGCCGCTGGTTGCCAAATTGTGCGACAATTACTGCAGTATGTTGACCGAATCCTAATACAGCCCCGTAGCGGACAGATGATAAGGCAATGATGCTGCATAGCTAAACATAACGTGAGTTTAATCGTCCATTCGATAGGAATGAAGTTCGAGAATGCCGTACCAGCGACAGCAAAACGAAGAGGTTGTCCCAGCCAACAACACGAACTAGCTTTACTCTGGAAAAGTTGATGTGCTGTAACAGTCCTTCATTATGACTTACATCTTTTCCAAGAAGTTCTATGCGGTATAGTTGGCAGAATCGAAATCGAGTGAAATGTAGAATGATAATGCAATCAACAAACCCAGGTCATGCGCAATGTTATACCTTTGAGAAAGGGATTGCTTTGAATGAATGAATAAGACTGTGCTGGATCCGCTAGCTGCATTGCCGAGATAATGAGGGAAATCCTTTCGAGGTCCACGTTATTGTGGCACAGCGCAGCATTTTGGCAGATTTATCCCAGGCCTCGCTAACTTTCGCAGACCGACCTTCTCGGTCTAAATTTGATTCACTTATATTAAAAGAAGCTGGAGAGCAAAACATTGCTAGTCATTTCAAACATGCACGAGTATGCACATAAAAACACATCTAAGAGATCAAGCTGCGATACGAGATTCTAGTTTGGGAAGGCTGGTATGACTCGAGCGACTATGCATGAGCAATACTCCACTGCCGAGATATGTGTATAGATGATTCAACAACAATGGCGGTGACACATTCTCACAGGGGTAGTAGACTCTATATTTCGTTCGTTACCAAAGCTTCGCAATGGCCGCGTTTGCACAATGCAGGCAGAGCAAATGCTCCAATATTGCTGTACCTTATGAGCTTACCACAGATACAGTATGTCTGAAACGTAAACGACAGTCCCCAAAGCCTCCGAAAGGTTACATAGTCAGTGTAAGATATTTCTTACAAAGATTGCTAAGGTTCCTAAAGCCTTACCAATCAATGCAAAGACAGTTGGTCGAAGCAAATTTCTTAGTATCAGCATGGGTTTCTTAGATTGTGCAGTTGTTCAGGAGATGAATACGAGCCAAAACAATCTCCTAGTCGGACCAAACAAGCAAAGCTATGACAATCCTCATCTACAAATGCAAGACTGTGAGTTGCATGTGATGATCAAACGCTAGTCGCAAATCCTTAAAGGATTGATCCTGCCGGCTATAATGCACAATTGAGCTACTTGCATGTACGCGAACATGTGGAGCTCTGGGTCTCGGGATTTTAGGCCGGACCGTTTACGGGGACACAGAATGTATGTAGTTAAGATCAGCTTGAAGTCTAAAAACTACCCCCATCAGTAGCAAAAGGCTGCATCGTACAGAAACAACATGTCAAAAACATTTCCGGTCATGCTCGAACGCATCGCGGTGGCTGGCAAGGCTTACCAACGCGAAGATATCGGTTCACGAGAAGAGCTCATCAAGCTGGGCAGAGATGTGGTAGCAGCACTTGAAATCCCAAGTGAGTTCTTGCAAAAAAGCTTCTAGGCCGAGGTAAACTAGCAATACTATCCGAAATTCTCGTGACGTTGCTGATCAGTACTGCAGCCTGCTCCATCAGCACACTGCAGGTTAGCCGCTCAGGTCGGACTATTCCAACACCTTAAATATGCAGGGGAGACGGGAAGTAGTCTTGAGGATCTTGCCCAAGATACAAGAGTCGATGCACTACTACTCCAAGGAATCCTCCGCCACCTAGTCGCCATGAAACTTTTCACATACTCGAATGGAAAGTTCCAAGGAACACCCCTCAGTAACGGTCTCGCAGCAGAGAACTGTCAAAAAAGCATCGATTTCTGCTACGATGTCGCCAGGTCGAGCTTCAATCGCTTTCCCAGCTTCTTCCAAGAAACCGGCTCCAAAATCACAAGTTCTGTCACAAATGGTCTATTTCAGGCCGCACACGGCTTCTACCCCGTAGCAGAGCGTCTAATCGAGGGTTTCGACAAGGACGTCGGTGAAGCCTTGCTTGTAGATGTTGGGGGTGGTCGCGGCCACCATGTTGAGCAGTTCATATCAGAACACAAGGCACATCCCGGGAAGACTGTCCTGAAAGACCGGGAGCCTGTTGTTATCAGTGTTTCAAATCAAGACAAGCTACCCTTTGAGTTGCAGGTACACGACTTCTTTACTACTCAGCCAATCAAGGCTGCATGGACTTACTCGCTTCATTCCATCCTTCATGATTGGAACGATGAAGGAGGGATCAAGATCCTTGATAGCCTGAAGCCTGCGCTTGAGTCTAGGTATTCCCGGGTTCTGTTGATTGAGATTGTGGAGGAGGAGGAGGAGGGTAAGCCTACTATCGCGGAGACGGCCATGGATATGATGATGTTGGCACATTTTGCGGTGCGGGAGAGGACCAGGGTAGAATGGGAAGGTATAATAGAGAAGGCTGGATTGAGATTGGTGGGGTTCTATAATTTCCTGGGGGTTGCGGAGAGCATTATTGAGGCGGAGCTGCGAGAAGCTCCTTGAGTTTGCATGGTACTCCCTTTTGCTTAAATTTGGACTTCCTATAGTGATTACGATGTTTTCCACTACGAGAAAATCTCTAAGAAAGAATCTAGCTTTCAAAGACCAAATTTTAAGAAAAAGAGGAAGATGTTCGGCGTAGCTAAAGTATTGTTAATTTCATCCAGCATCTTGTACATAATTATTGCTACTATGAGAGAATTGTAATCGCCAATGCTCGGGTATAATAGTAGGGATAGCGTGGTACTGTCACTAGGCTGGAATATGGGTCGAGGTGGGGTAGGCCCGTCCACCGAGGTAAGGTAGGAAGATACAGTGTCAAGGTCCAACCCTGAACTTAGCCACGCACCCACAATCTCAACGAATTCATGTACGCAGCATGTAGAGGGACCTGCTAGCAGGGGTGTCGCGAGGTATATGATCTGTAGGAAAGGGCCGATGAAAGCATTGACTTTGTTTTATTGATAATCATAATGTAGATTGCAGATGTACTGGAAGGGAGTTAAAGCGGCGGGTGATTTACCAGGAGGTTGCAGTGTCAGAGGTGTATGGTTGCGTATTTAGTCACAGTAGATACCACACTCATATAGTTGTGTTTCTGACAGCCACCAAATTCTCGGGTACGCAACAACGCATGTATCTACATTGAGTTTATATGCTTAAAGTCACTTCTATCATGCCAAGCATGCGGCTGATACGTGCTTGCCCGGTCAGGATTTTGATTGTAGGCTTCAAGGTACGACCAGCGTTTTGTCAAGAAAACTATTCCAAGTGTGCCACTTATCCTGCTACCAGGAGAATTGTTTAGAGTTGGTGCAATGCTACACTTAATCGTACCGTCATCTTTGGCCAAAGTATATTCCAGTTAGTATAAAATGTCAGCACTACAGAGCGAACTCATATATACTAGGTGGATAAGGAACTACTTCCAACTCTTAATTTCACATTAAGATATTACAGTAACCTAACCGATAGACGTTCAGCCTATCCAAGACTCAATGGTCCTTCGGTATACGCAGTCCCTTGCTTTTCCAAGTGTCAATCTGCTTATTCTTTGCGTAAAGAAAACAAAAAAAAATACGAAGAAGGATTTCAAATCGATCGAAAAAAAAATTATATTCGAACGTTATGTGTTAGAAGTATTGTGCGTCTCATTATTACCCGGCGTTGGTGTATTGCCCATCGGCGGCACTACAGCTGAATTCCTCTGCGCGGGGCTTGCATCCCCTTGCTCTCTTCGGGCTCGAGCCCCGAAAGCGTCAGTTAGTCGTGCGCTGATTCTTCGACTTCTCCTGTCTCTTGTGTTGGCTACGTTTTCCACACTTGGACTTGTACCCTCTCCAGCGAGATCACCACTTTGGTTTCTTCGCTGCTCTCTAAGGCGCCTTAAGGCGCCAATTCGCTCTTCAGCTGATGAATTTGGTAAATGACGGAACAGCAAAATGTCACGGATTGCGCTGCGGCGGCGATGCAATGTTTCGGCATCGGGGTTTAGAGGTGGAGCAAGTTGATCCTGACGATGGGAGGCAGAAGAATCATGGGAATCGACGGGTCGGAGATCGACACGACTGCGAAGTGTTAGTGGGCTTGATACAGCAAATAGTAAGATAGGGGGCTGTCTTACCATAATGGACAAGTACCAGACACATTTAGTAGCCATGGATCAACACACTCTGGGTGGAACTTATGATTGCATGGGAGAACGCGAAGATCTTGACCCTTCTCAAAATCCTCTGTACAAATGGAGCATCCCAGACTTTCGTCAGACGAAGCGTTCTCTGTACCCGTGGATGCGGTCGCGACAACAGGTTGTGCAGGCGCTATACCTGACTGATGTTGCTCAATCTCCGCGGAGATCGCTTCCTGTAGCGCCCTTGTCACCTGTTCCGTACCTAGTGGCTGCGCTTGGCTGCGCGGATCAGCGGTCGTTGGAAGGTTTGTGTGTCCGTCGCTTGTCGCATTCGCTTCGTTCAAATCTCTCGCCCCAGCCGCCGGTCCCAATTCCACATCAGTAGGCTTCGTCTGCTCTCGTTCGCCAAATTTCACAATGGGAATAGTGTCAAGAATAGCTCTTCCAAGTCCCCTTGCTCTGCTCTGTCTAGGTCGCCCAAGGACATTTCGGGGTCCGTATCGCTCAGGATGACGATGCGCTCTTACCGCGCCAGTGATGATGATGACAAGGAATAGAGCCGTGATGATACCTGTGATGCTGTATAGAATGATCATAGCGACAGCAGTCGAGGGTGAGGGGCCTAAAGGATTCTGTGCCTGGTTTGAGTTGCCGCCTCCATTGCCGTTGTCGTCATTGGACCGGCCTTGAACGTGGACGAAGTATTTCATGTGTGCGGGCAGGTCGTCAGTAGCGTCGAGTACAAAAGCCGAATCCGTTTTGCTCGTCATGGAATAGACAGCGAATTGCTGCACCATTTGTTGAGAGTCGTTCTGGTCATAATCGCAATAGTCGGTGGCTGTGCTGTAAAGGATGGCAGCCGAAATGTTGGCTTGTTGATAAGCCTGCTCGAGGACGGATTGGGCATTGTCGAAGCCGTTGTAGTCGCTGGGGTTGCAACTGATGTACGCGATTTCGTCAGCAGTAATATTGGCGACGTTGGAGAAATTTGTATAGTATAGGTTGCCCTTGACCTGGTAGTCCGTGTCAGTGCAAGTACTTGAATGGGATCTTGTACCTAGCCGCGACGAACCGAATTCACTGCTTCCTGGGTCAAGGGGATGACGTTGGCAATTTTGCGCCCATTTGAGTCGGCACGGGCGAGTGGTAGAGTGCCATCCCCCCAGCCCGGACGCGCAGTCGAGGTGTTTGAGGGCGAGATGGTGGCCGTGGCGGAGGTAGCGAACAAGAGGCAGGTCAACTGCCACGACAAGCGTTGCAGGCGCATAGGCGGCATCTTAGAGCGCATGCCTGTTGTGGATTAATAGTACACAAGCGCTGATGAACCCATGTGTGAGTATGTGTGTAGATGTATGTAAATGTTGGTATGAATGTATAAATGTATGGGTACGGCAGCTTGTATTGTTGCGGTCCCCCCCAAAAAAGAGTGCCGCACTGCAGAGCGACAGGCTAAACGATAAGACGGTGCTCGAGCCCGACAGCTGACATGCTTGGTGCGACAAGAGGCGGCGGCAAGCACAAGTGGTTTGATGTGTGTCAATGTAAGAGTGCAGGTGCGTAGATATGGCTGAAGCCAGGCGAGACGACACAAGATGTGGTGGAGAGGCGCGGCAGACGATGACCACAACCCCCCGCTCTCCTCTCCCCCAGACCCGCTGACGCTACGGACCCACTCGTGCTCGTCTGCGTTCGCCTTACGCTCCGACTCTGAAACTCGCTCTAGTCGACCTTGTTTGGCTACAGCTGCAGCAGCTTTTGTTCCGCGCTTCTCTCAACCACTCGTTTGACATGTTCTCGGGCCTATACGACCATTGCAGCCCTACCATGGCCCTCCAGCGGCTCCGAGGCAGTCGTAAGCCCTATGGCTGAGTTGCTCTACCGCCCAGTGCTTCGGACCGACTTGACTGCACGTCACTGAAGTCCACTTGCATCAATCACTTTATTCCCGCATCGCCATGCACACATGCATTCCCGTCTCGGTAATGCATCTTGCCGTAAAGAATACTCCGCTAGCTAACCACCAACAGTTTCACCTGTTCCTACGTACGTATACACCCTCGTTTCATGCTCTAACCAGCTTGGATACTACCGTTGCATTACATATTTTGTATCTACCATTCAACTCCATTCAAACTCCGTCACCATAAACGCCTGCGCTCTGCTACCATGTATGCCCACTCATCCATCCCCACGACACATTGTTGATACAGTTAAAAAAACAAGTCCTTGCTCACAACACCATGCTCGCCTAGTAGGCAACGCCACTCCTGCCACGCCCGGGCGTCTTGAACGTCATGGACTGCATCTGTTGCTCTACCAGTCCGCCAAGCGCCAGTGTGTCCTTCGGATCAACTCCCATCCTCTCGAAATCATTGAAGCCAGAAAGATAGAAGCCAGCAATCACCACCAGGTACGACAGAATCAAGATCGACCCCTTGAAGTAGTTGCTCTTTCCTTCACCATACATGTACGACAAAAGGAAAACGCACAGAATGACCGTGATCATGTCCCACTGGGGAAAGATGAGTGTGAACGACTGGTTTGCCACTTCGTGCGCTGGAATGTATCCGCTGTGCATGGCGCTGTAGAAAACCAGAGCCGGGATCTGCAACAGACAGACTTGCAGAGCATATGCAGATCCAATTTCCATAGAAAGCGCAATATTACCGTTCATAGCAAACGAAATGGCGTTCAAAAACTCGGTCGTGTTCGGCACCAACGCGAACAAGGTGATGCCCAGGAACTTTTCGTCAATATCAGATCCTTCCAGCACCCCGTCGACCGTGTTGACAAGAATCTCGGCGATGATGGCGTATGCAACAGTCGCTGTCAACAAAATGGCAGCACTCTTTTGGCGACTCCAGTTTGGTGCATCGTGCCCTCCAGAAGTATGCCCGGGCGCCGTCTCGCCCTCGTCGTGAGCTGCCTCGGTATTGGCCCGAGTATGAGCAGGCCGATCAGAGTGCCCTTTGCTGGTTGTATGAGCAAGTTGTGCAACTTTACGAGGAGTCTTGGTAACATCACGTGTCGCTAGAGCCGTCGTTGTTGCAGCAATCTCAGTAATCTGGCGTGCTAGCGATTCCGCGGCATCATCCGTAAGGCCTTCGACGTGGAAAGAGTGGTGCACATTTGTTTGGCCATCCTTGGGTGGTACCAGGTGGGGGGTGTTGCTGTCTGCTTTTGAACCTGGTCGCCTGTCGCTTGATGTGGATTGCTCTGGTCCAATGCCAACCTCTTGTAGAGTTTGACTAACCATGCGCTTGTACAACTGACTGTCACGCACATGCGCGCGATTGACAGAATGTCCGGTCGATTGCCTCATAAAAGAGGAATGGGGGAAATCTCCATGGCCACTCTGACTGAGACTGCTCGCGCTCATCTCCAAAAACTTCTTCTCTTGAGCGTCTGGCTCAGTCCAGATTGTAGCGGCATGAGTTCGTAGAGTAAACAATAGACCGATGATGTAGGAGAAAAATAGCAATGCAGCTGAAAACCAGGTATATGGCTTGACAGCTTCATTGTAGAACCGGTCGTGAAGTGCTGGTGTTTGCGAGTAGTAGCATCTGCGGCAGTCTCTCTCCAAGGGAGCAGAGGAATGAGGTTTAATACACTGGTGACAGTTGAGTTCATGCTGATATCAGTTAGCAGGGGCCTTTATAAAAAAAATAAGAATGCAATCCTTACGCTTCCGTAGATCTGGTAGAACAATGTGGGTCCAAAAGCGCCGATGACGGCAAACAAAAGCATGGTTGATGTCACACCAGCCGACCGCACATTGAACCGCTGGGTCTTGCGTTTCAGTGCTCCGAAACACATGGACAAGCCTGGAAGAAACAGAATACCAGCGAAGATACTTCCAATAATGCTTCCTTCGACAAGTTGCGCTTTTCCCTGATTCAGCGCTACGCAGTAGAGGAAAACCTCGACAACGGTTGAGAAGAAGGCGTTGATGGTCGCGCCGACCCCCATGGATGATTGAGCTGAGATGGAAGCCACTGCTTGGCCAATGAAATATGCCAGTGGAATGATGGACAACAATGCAAGCGTGAATAGCAGAAACTGGTCCGTCAACCAGAACTTGAGCTCCATGGCTTCAGCCAAGACAAAGTAGTCGAAGATGGTAAAAGCGACCAAGCCAAGGAGATTGATGAGAAAAATGTTTGTGCCGTCAATCGTGTATTTCCAGTACTTGATGCCGACTGCTCGATAGGTGCAGAGCAGGATAGAAGATGACTCTCCTGGACGGCGTACATTACCATTGTCCGAGTGAAATGAGAGAGCCAAAGGGTGACGACGCAAGTGGTCCAATAAGAGCATGGTGGTTTTACCCATGGGGATCGTAAAGACAAGAAACCAGCAGAGAATCGAGACGAAAAAGAGCGAAGGCATCAAGATGCCATAGAAGAAGAGGAAAAAGATTACTCGACCAAGGGTCCATTTGCCGCGACCAAAAAGTCTCCGTTTAGTGGTGGCTGTGTCAGTATGGTTCACGTTACCACGGCCGTGTCTTCCAAGCAGACTCATGGTCTCGCTGCCAGCAGAGTCGACACTGTTGCGCCTACGACCGACGAGCGAGCTCTCACCACCGTTAATGGGGCCAAAGAAAAGGCGTCCTTCTTCAATGTCACCGCTCTGCCACTGCTCATACTCGCTAATGCTGCGACCTTCACCTTCATCTTCGTCGATGTAGGCCTCGTCCTGCATGAGCTTGACATATTTGCCAAAGGGGTAGAATAGATATGAGGCAAGGTGGAAAAGGAGACGCGAGTACTCTTTGCAGCTTTGGTTGAAGCCAAGCAGAGCGCACAGCAGACCCCCGGCGCTCGCCACGACCGCCAGCCACCAGCCAAAGACTAGCGTCCAGACAAGATTGAACAGGAGCAACCACCTACTGACGTAGAGACCTGGTGATGAGTGGATATCGGCCTCTGCATTGCGCTGGACCGACCGACCCTTTTTGTAGAGGGCGGGCTTCCAGATCCTGATACCAAAGGGATGTGTCACGTTGATTGCATCCTGACGGTCGCGTAGGGTGAAGCTCTCCGCGTCACTTAGCTCGTCATCGTCGGCGCCTCCGCTTTCGTCTTCTGCTTGCACCGTCTCTTCACTCGAGGAGACGGGCGTCGCGTCTGCATCCGTGCCGGTTGTTAGTCCTGCGCTGTCCTGCTCAGCCTCGTCGTCTTCGGTAGAGTCTATCGTAGTCAGGGTCGCCGGCTGTGCAGCGGTTCTGCGTCGCACAGTCGAGGATTTGCGGCGCAATGTCTGTCGTTGTTTCTTTTGCTGGTCTTGCTGAGCCTGGTCGAGCTCGACCTCCTCCTCGGCATCGTCGACACTGAATTCCTGTCCCTTCTGCGGCCATTTGGACGACGTTGTGCGGCGCGTCATTGAGGGCTTCTTAGGCTTGGAGGAGCCTTCTGAGACCGGTGGATTTTGCGGACGACGGTCCTTGCTGTCTTTACCGGTAGAGATGGTGCCTATGGCCGCGTTAGCGTGTTGGCATTGGCGGCGTTGTTGTTGCTGTTGCTCGTGGTCTTTGTCTAGGAGTCTTACCATAGCCCGAGGGCTGCATGGCAGCTTGGGATCGCCTACGCGCGGATTCCCCAGCCATGGCGGTTTGAGCGGGCGTGTCGCTGGCCGTGGTGGTGCCTTGGGTGCTGCTCCGATGAGATGTCTCTGGGGAGGGTTTGGCCTCGCCGCTGTTGGGAGTGCGGTCCTCCATGGCGGTGCGGTGGATACTCGCAGAGACACAGAAAAAGAGCAGGCAGGCTATCTGCAGCCCGGCCTTGTTTTGGGCAGTGTGGAAACTTAGAATGGCCCCAGCTCAGGCCTTGTGTTTATGCGCACGAGTCACTCTAGCCTGTCGCCGTGCAATGCCAGCGATCAAAGAAGGGACGAGAGGCATGTCCGTCTTTGCCGTGCCCGCATCTGCTGAGGTCTGGTGTGGGCGGAAGCTGCAGGCAGATGACCAGCCATCATGTGCGAGCGGCCGCCTCACCCACTCAGCACCACACCACTACACCAGATAGCCATGGCATCTTGTGCGGGCCCTGTCTCACTGCCGATAAAGCCGGCTCACGCGCTGCAGCCGATTCTTTGGTCTGCACGCAACATCGACCAGCTCTTGTGATGACGGCACATTAATGGGGCCCTATCTGTAGCATCTTCTGGCTATGCCTTTTGCTACCCAGCTCCCCACCCGTCTGCATCTGTGGCGGTGCCGCGGCAACGGCAGCAACAGCCCCGGCCGCGGCGGGGCATCCCTATTGCTATCGCCATGGCGCCTCAACATGTGGCGCAGGCGCTCGCCCACGGCCAAACCATTAATCCGCGCGTCGCAGCTTCGGAAGCTTCCAGTGGGACGGGCGTGTCAATGTCCGAGCCAGTCCAACAATCACCCACGGCCGTGCCATTGCTATCCCCATCACCATCGCCGTCCCCACCACGTATCCACGCTCACTCTCTACCATCCACGTGTCTTGTGGCTCTCCGTCTGCCTCCAGAGACTTGTGCAGTACCGCCCCTCTCTCTACCAACGGAACATCGCCGACGGCGCCCGCCACAGCCATGGCGCTCGACACCTTCTTCCACAACAAGATCGAGGCGATGAAGCTCGAGATCATACAAGGCCAGGCAAAGCTACGACGACTTGAAGCCCAACGCAATGACTACAACTCGAGAGTGCGGTTACTGCGCGAAGAGCTGGGCCTGCTCCAGCAGCCGGGGTCCTATGTTGGCGAAGTAGTCAAGGTCATGGGCACCAAGAAGGTCCTGGTGAAGGTGCATCCCGAGGGCAAATACGGTAAATACCCACAACACGCTACACAAAGCTCTAACACTAACTCATCTAGTCGTCGATGTTGCCGACAGCGTCGACATCACCAAGCTCACCGCTGGCAAACGCGTCACCTTACTCAGCGATTCGTACAAGCTCGAAAAGCTACTCCCGTCTTCGGTCGACCCGCTTGTTTCGCTCATGATGGTTGAAAAGGTGCCCGACAGTACATACGACATGATTGGTGGTTTGGACCAGCAGATCAAGGAAATCAAGGAGGTCATTGAACTTGGTCTACAACATCCCGAACTCTTCGAATCACTCGGTATTGCCCAGCCCAAGGGTGTTTTGTTATACGGCCCCCCTGGAACTGGAAAGACGCTGCTTGCGCGTGCTGTTGCGCATCACGCCGACTGCAAGTTCATTCGAGTATCTGGTAGCGAGTTGGTCCAAAAGTACATTGGTGAGGGTAGTCGCATGGTTCGAGAGCTGTTCGTCATGGCTCGAGAGCATGCTCCTAGCATCATCTTCATGGACGAAATCGACAGTATTGGATCAAGTCGTGTTGAGGGAAGCTCTGGCGGCGATTCAGAGGTGCAGCGAACTATGTTGGAGCTGTTGAACCAGTTGGATGGTTTTGAGCCGACTAAGAACATCAAGATCATCATGGCAACCAATCGACTTGACATCCTCGACCCCGCTCTATTACGACCTGGTCGCATTGACCGAAAGATCGAATTCCCACCGCCAACCGTCGAAGCGCGTGCTGATATTCTGCGAATTCACTCGAGGAGCATGAACTTGACACGTGGAATCAATCTCACAAAAATTGCGGAAAAGATGAATGGATGCTCTGGTGCCGAGTTGAAGGGTGTCTGTACTGAGGCTGGTATGTATGCCCTCAGGGAGAGGAGAGTGCACGTCACACAGGAAGACTTTGACTTGGCGACGGCCAAGGTGCTGAACAAGCATGACGACAAGGCCACCAGTCTGAGCAAGTTATGGAAATAGGCGACAATGCTGAGCCCTCTAATCATGCTGAGATGCGCCGACGCTTATGAGGATACGTTCAGCAACAAGTATGGCGTAGACACATTCTACAAACAAATAATGACTTTTTGACAACCCCCCATTGCCTTCGAAAGACTGCGAGAGTGATGTTACGTCATCTAGGCTAAATCACCACATTGGTCACTCAACCGAACTCCGGCCTTCACACCATCACCCCATATGCAGTGCAGATCTTGCCGAAAGTTAGATACACAGTGTATGGCGTATCACTATCCCCTCAACTTGCATAAGATCTACAGTAATGGCTCTGTGTTCTATGACGAGTATGTAGGCAGCTCAAAGCATATAATTAGTCTTCGTATACGACGTCAACCCAAGGTTCGTGCACCCCACATGCAAGGTCACCTTATCCGACTGTGTGGCTGCATCGCGCAAACAAAGAGACCGATTGCGTGATGAATACTACTAGGGTCTATCACCTTATATGCAGTCTCACCAGAATAGTCTGGTTGCACAGGACGTTCGCAACTACCAGCGCCCAACCCACCCTGGCGCTATCCTCTTTCATTACACACCTGATCAACTCTGCCAACCGTAAACACAAAATTGAAAATTACTCGGCAAGAGATTTCAGCCCATTCACCATTTGAAAGAAGGTAATGGCGGAGGCAGCAGCAGCAGAAAGTGCGCATGGGGCGGACGACCATAAGAACCCTACAATACATCACACAACGAGAGATGAAGCAGCACCTGTCAGTGTTCTTGAGGACGGATCGTTGGACCCTGTATACGAGGCCAAGGCGAAAGTGCTGAACAAAGCAGTCCAGGATATAGGTATGGGACGGTACCAGTGGCAGGTCAGTCTCCTACTGCATGCGTCCAATTCCCATTTAGCCACATCTCTATATTCCCATCTCGTGACTTGCGTACGAGCTCCCTTGTCGCTCAAAATTGTTAATTCCGACTATAGCTCTTTATCGTCATTGGATTCGGATGGGCAATGGACAATCTATGGCCTATTGTGACATCACTCATCTTCACCCCTGTTAGCAACGAATTCAGACCGAATCGACCACCTTTTCTAACCTTGTCCCAAAACATCGGTCTCCTGTTTGGCGCTGTGTTTTGGGGATTCGGCTGCGACATCTTTGGTAGGCGATGGGCTTTCAACCTCACCATTGGCATCACTGCGGTTTTTGGTATGGTAGCGGCCGGCAGTCCGAATTTTGCTGCCATTGGCACTTTTGCTGCTCTCTGGTCTGTTGGCGTTGGTGGCAATCTTCCCGTCGACTCTGCCATTTTCTTGGAGTTTTTACCCGGATCCCATCAGTACTTGCTTACCATACTCTCGATTTACTGGTCGCTAGCACAAGTTTTTGCTACGCTTGTAGCATGGCCGTTGCTGGGAAACTTGACATGTCAACAGACCGAGAATACATGTACAAAAGGAGAAAACATGGGTTGGCGGTATTTTGTGCTCGTAAGTGAGACTTTACAATTATTTACGAGCATAGACTAACACAAGAAATCAGGTAATGGGCGGCACAGCATTGATCATGTTTGCCATACGTTTCGTCTTCTTTACCATTTTCGAGTCTCCAAAATATCTCATGGGCAAAGGTGAAGACGAAAAGGCCGTTGAAGTTGTTCATGAAGTCGCCCGCCGCAACGGCAAAACATCGCCATTGACAGTTCAAGATCTAGAATACTGTAACCTTGTCGCACGACCGGGAGTCTCTCAGCAACAAATCACCGCAGCAGCTGCAATCAAGCGAAATCTCCAGAAGCTGGACAGTTCGCACGTCAAAGCCCTCTTTGCCACAAAAAGGCTCGCCTTCTCCACCAGTGTCATCACCGTAGTCTGGGCGTTTATTGGACTTGGATACCCCCTCTACAATGCCTTCCTGCCCTACATACAAGCAACTCGAGGCGTGGATTTTGGCGATGGATCAACATACATCACCTACCGTAACAGTCTAATAATCGCTGTTCTGGGCGTCCCAGGCTGTATCCTCGGTGGTGTTTTGGTCGAAACACCCTTGATTGGCCGCAAAGGCACCTTGGCCGCATCCACGGTTCTCACAGGAGTCTTCTTGCTTTGCTCTACTACTGCTCTCACCTCGGATAGCCTGCTCGGCTGGAACTGCGCTTACAATTTCATGAGCAACATCATGTATGCTGTCTTGTACGCTTATACTCCGGAGATTTTCCCCACAAAAGATCGGGGCACGGGTAATGCCATCACTGCGAGTGCGAATCGGATTTTCGGTATCATGGCTCCGATTGTAGCTATGTTTGCGGACCTGGAAACGAGTATACCGGTATATGTGTCTGGGGCGCTTTTCATTGCTGCTGGGCTGCTAGTCCTTGTCTTACCGTTTGAGAGTCGTGGAAAAGCTAGTATGTAGCAGGGAACATCCCATGAAGCAGAGGGCCTTGGAATGGTAACGTAAAAGTTCGAGGGGTATTAATCTAATCGTGAATCAAACTCTATTTATTCATTCTTGAAAGAAACGAACTCTGTGCCCACATCCCTATATACCTAGCACTGGGCATTAATAGATTCGATAATATTGCTTTTACTTCCCCCTGTTTTCTTCAAAAGTTTCTACAAAACCTATACTCATGACGGACAAAAGCAGGGCAAGAATGTTACTATTCTATATGTTTTCTGGTTAAGGTTAAATATATACTATAGAGTAAACGATCAGTCGCGTGGTTAAGGCGCTGTTAAAGGATTGCGGCGTAGTGCATCCCTTGAGATGCTCCAAACTAAAGTGCTTGTAAGCATTTGCCTTTAGATCGTAAATTATTATTTTTATGTACTAGGACTACTACGTGCTATATTTGTTGCCTTTCTTAATTCTAAACTATATCCTATGGTTATTCTACAAACTAGTATATCTATTAAGCGTTGTTTCACTTCAGTCCCCTTCGTTTAGCGATACTTTGTAGAGTATCCATCTACAAAGACTTTGTTGGTACTACTTACTAATCTATAGCCACTTATTATAACACCACTTTACTGTGCCTCCCTAACTAGCCTTCCTGATGTTAAGTCTATATGCCAATGTGGCCTTGTAGCCGTTGTTTGTGAACATGTCGAGCCTGTACATGGCTTATAGGGAGCAAGAGCTCTATTGAGGCTGAATTCTATTACCTTATGGAAGAGGGACTATAGATATCCTCTAGAGCTGTACCAGCACTATCTTCTTATATTGCTAGTTAATACTCTGCCTTAACGTACTAGGTTATGGCCGTGCGTTCCCTGCCATCAAGCTGCTATAAGACTACTGTGTGGCAGCAGTTCATCCCTAATCTCGGACAGTGACTTGTAGTGTGTTCTATTTTCACATATAGTACAGGAATACTACTACTAACTACGTAGTAACTGTAATTACGAAATTGGTTGAACAATGTCGATATGAGATGACTAAGATGACGTCATCCCTCTACTCACCCAACTTTTCCCACCTCACCCTGCTACACACCCTAACAGAACACTAGCCCTGAAACACTCCCTCGAAATGAGCGAATCAAAGGAAATGGTAATCATACTTACCGGTGCTTCAAGAGGTAAGTCAATCTTCCGACCCACCAAGCCCACTCATAATCCCAATATTTCCCTTTTTTTTTTAAATTTTTCCAAATAAAAAAAAAGTGGCATATCACAAAGCACGTGCAAATCCCCCTCGCCCATTACACCAAACCAACAACCCTCATGCCCTCATTCCCCTATAATACCGACATGCTAAATGGTGGTTCAAAAACAAAGGAATCGGCCAAGCAATCGCACACCATCTCCTCTCGCGCTCCCACAAACTAATCCTCATATCACGCACGCACTCTGCCCTCGACGCGCTGCACTACCAGTATGGCTCCGAAAACGTCGAGGTGCTCGCGGGCGACATGTCAAACGCCTCTATCCCCAAACGCGCCGTGGAACTAGCGCAGGAGCGCTGGGGGAGGCTGGATGCCGTGATTGTGAATCATGGGACGTTGGATCCCGTTAAGAAGGTAGCGGATGCCGGGGTGGAGGAGTGGAGGAAAGGGTTTGATGTTAATGTTTTCAGTGCAATCGGATTGGTATGTTGAGATTGTTATCATTTTCCCTCTAATCTTGTGTTTTTTTTATTTTTGCTTTCGTATATGAAATGCTAATGGGATAATGGTAGATTCAAGCGGCACTTCCCTTTCTGCGTAAAACAAAGGGCCGAATCATTCTTACTTCTTCTGGAGCAGCAGTATCTGCGTATCAGGGATGGGGCTGCTATGGTGCGGGTAAAGCGGTGCTAAATCACCTTGCGTTGACGCTTTCGGTGGAGGAACCAGACGTTACTACCATTTCTATTCGACCGGGTGTCGTGGATACGGAGATGCAGCGGGAGATTCGCGAAGTGCACCATGAGCGAATGAGCGAAAAGGACAGGGAGAAGTTTAGCGGACTGAAGAGCAGTGGAGGTCTTTTGAAGCCAGAGCAACCTGGAAACGTAATCGCCAAACTTGCTGTCAGTGGCGGAAAAGAACTTAGTGGCAAGTTTCTCAGTTGGAACGATGAGAGTCTCAAGGCATTTCAAGACGAATAGTAGTAAATCATCATAGCATGCATAGGTCGTTATCATCATTTAGAATCTACATTACAGGATCATCATCATCTCGCTCAAGAGCCCTTTCAGACTTTCTATCCGCCTTTGTACTCTAGAGAACGTTTATGGGTTACCGAAATCTCCATGCACTTATTTGGCAGGCCGACCAGCCAGGGTATCAATATCTGTAGGCTGTGATGGGGCTTGCGGTCTACCAGACAGCATATCCACCGTCTCCTTGAGAGCCATCCAGAACTCATGCTTAGGGCGTCTTCGGTGCCACTCAGTCTCCCGCTTCTCAACAGACTCCATGGGGGAGAAGAGCAACTTGCTGCCCTTGATACCAATGACACTAATGGACATGGTATCATCCTCAATGTCATCGGGCGACATGCCAGCATAGCTCTCTAGATGCTGCATGGCCTTGGTAGCGAACCTCACAGCTCTGACACGATCCATTGGAGAGGGAATGGTACCTTGCTGGAAGTGACCAGGAACTCCGTGGCGAGATTCAAACTTGCCTTTGCCAGCTTCGGCAATCATCTGTGCAATGATCTGCACAGAGTATGTCTTTGATGCTTTTTCGTTGACCAAGATCACTTTGCCAGATCTGCTGATGCCCTTGTCTTTTGCGAATACACTACGCAAGTGGTCGATATCGCGGTCCAGCATCTTGAGGTCGATGCCGTCTTCTGGTGTGTACACTGCCAGCGCTCCAATACTGAGACCAGCGACAGTCGCAATGTAACCGGATTCACCACCTTGTGTCTCAATGACGAAGACACGACGGCGGGTTGCGGATGCAGATTGGCGACAGGCATCAGAATATTGAATGAGGGCATTCAGACATGTATCCGAACCGATCGAGTACTCGGTACCAGGGACATTGTTTGAGATGGTGGCGGGGAGGATAACCTAGGCTCATGTTAGTACCTGATTCATACGTCATAAACCCCAAATTCGTGCTTGAATATACTTACCATGGGAATCTTGAACGCCTTGTAGTGTTCGCGTGCTTTTCGCAGTTCAGAGACTGCCGTGAACGCCTCGAATCCACCAACGACGAACAAAGCCTGGATATTGTACTTCTTAAAGACAAACGAAACAGTTTCCAAGTCCTCACTAGGAAGTCCACGGTTTGTGCCAATCTCAGATCCTCCCTTGGATGCCCAAGTCTCAGCATCGATCCATTTGATGTCTCGGACCGCGCCGATTGGCTCATCGGAGTGATGGCGGATGATACCAGGGAAACCATTGTGAAGTGCGACCGGGGTGTGGCCACGAGCAAGGCAGTGCGCTACGGCGGCACGAGTAGCTGCGTTCATTCCTCCGGCTGGAGCTCCAACGTGAATGATGCCAACACGCATGCGCTTGTCCTCGGGCAACAAGAGCTCAGGCTGGTCGGCTGCTGTAGTGATCTTGTAGGCCTGGTATTGTTGTTCGAATTCAGTGTCGCGGAACTGCATAGCCTTATGGAAGTCCTTGTTTCCGATAGCTACAGCAACTTCTTTGGTCTGAGCAACGGCCTCGAGGAGCGGGCGGCGGACAATCTTGTTCTCTTGCATACAGATGACCGGGCTGGGTACTTCGGGGCTAGCGTCCAAAACGGCCTTTACTGCTTCAACACCTTGAAGTGTTGACAGCATACGATCGTAAGCACATGGTGTGCCTCCACGCTGGACATGTCCAAGCGTAGTTACACGAGTGTCGAGCTTTGCATCGTTTGCAAGAACGTTCTTGACGTGTTCTGATGTGATTTTGTTAAGGTTACGATCGATGGCGCCTTCAGCGACGACGACAATCGTCTTTCGCTTTCCCATTTGCCTGTGCTTCTTGATCTGCCGGCACATTTCTTGTTCCCAGCCTTCTTCTGGTGGATTCTCTGGAATGAAGACAAAGTCTGCGCCAGTTGCAACACCGGCACTAAGGGCAAGCCATCCGCAATGCCGGCCCATGACCTCGATGACGAACGCTCGCTGGTGACTTACGGCGGTAGTGTCGACGGAGTCGATGGCCTCGCAGATACGGCCAAGTGATGTGTAGCAACCAATGGTGGCATCAGTCATGGACAAGTCATTGTCAATGGAGCCGACGAGACCGACAATGTTGAGGTGTTTGAAGGGTTCAATCTGCTCGGGCGTGAGCTGCTTATCTTTGACCAATTCGTCTAGCAGTTCCGGCCACTCTGCGCGGAACTTGTCTGCACCGGTGAGGGAACCATCACCACCGCAGATGATGAGGGCGTCGATTCCCTTGATAATCAGGTTCTTTGCGGCTGTCCGGCGCCCCTCGCGCTGCATAAACTCCATGCATCTCGCTGTGCCGATGAGGGTGCCTCCTTCTGACAGGAAGCCTCGAACATCTTCCCACTTCATCTCCTTGATCATGTCGCCGCCTTTGACCAGGCCGTCGTAGCCCTCATATATGGCGTAGGCTTCGCAGTTGTTGTGAAGGGCGGTACGGACAACGGCTCGTACTGCACCGTTCATGCCGGGCGCGTCTCCTCCGCTAGTCATGACTCCAATGCGCCTCTTCTTGCCCTCGAGGGGCGCCGGGACGTCGGTGGGCGCCATATTGTGGTGGTAGTGGTAGTGGTAGTGGTGTGATGTAGTAGTAGAGGAGTGGACGGGGGTGGGCGGAGAGGGCAGAATAGAGGGGCAGGTGGCAGGTGAATGTGTGTGTGAGAGAGGGGGGGGGTTATCAAAGGCAGTGAGTGAGTGCAGGATAGAAAAGATATTTGGACGTGGGTCGATATGAGGTCAAGGTGGATTCACGCGTCTACTCTAGCAGAAAACTTGCGGACGCCAAAAGAAGCGGGCCCC